TTCATAAAAACTGTAGGCCTCGATAAATTCTTGCAAGCCAGGCGAATAAGCCGAACGAAATTGGTATGGATCCTGTCCGTGAAGTTCTTTTGCTACAGCTTTAAAATTTATGTTAATAAGTTTTTGCAATCTTTGTTCTGCTTCCTGCAATACTTTCTGCCTATTATTCTTATTACTTTCAATGCTGTGTAAATGAAATATAATTCTCTTCGACTCAATCGTTATATCTCGGCTTAGTTTTACGATTCTTTCGTGGCGATCATGTTTGGCGTCTAGTTCTGCGCGATAAGCTTGAAATGCATTAAGGACTGGACTATCTTCAACAATAATATTAGGTTTGGGTTTTGAAAACTTTTTAAAATTTTTACGAAATCCTTGATTTTCAGGCATCTTGGCTTTCTAACAAATGTTTCCGAATTAATTATTTTAAACGAATTGAAATGTCAATATTGCTCACGTAGGACAGAGTTGCCAGCTATCATAAAATATAACCACAACATTAGGTGCTTTCGGCCGCTTTTAAGTGTGGTAAAAAACAGCAGGTTGCCTTTAGTTTCATAAATGTATGCAAAACAACGCTACTTTCTCTATCTAATCACTTTGTTGTGAAGTAGCCAAGCATTTTAGCAACTAATGTTGCCAACGCAATAAGCGAACTATTGTGATCCTTCATTGGAAATTTCAACAAAATTCAAGCAAAATTAAGAAGTTTCACAAATTTGAAAATTTTTGAAATGAAATATTTCAAAAATATGCAAAATTCTGAAAAATAAATATTTTAAGGCCGTGTGCGAGTTCGTGTATATTGAGGTAAAGTAAATTGAAATTTCCTATGGATTTTTTGCACTGCACTTATGTAAATATTTATTTATTTATTGCACTTATTTATTATCTTAGGTTAAAAGTTTTCAAATTTATTTATTTATTTATTAAACATCTTATAAAGTTTTTACTTAATTTACTTATTTTTTATCTAATTTACCCTACTCGAAATTCTGGTAAATACCAACATTCGCTACCATTGCCATATAATTTACTATTTCCCTCAATTTACCATCAATTTGCTCGAATTCGCCCATGGCCTTTACAATGAACAGTTTTACTCGAAAGTATTTTTAGCATTTTTAAAAATTTGTAAGAATTGATTAATATTTAATTATAAAAATGCAACACTGCCATTTTTCTTATTGACGAATATGAAAACCAAAACATAAACGCAAGACAATAAAATAAATAATAGCCGTGGCAAATTTTTACATGTAGGGAATGTGCAAATAGTTTTTTAGTTCATTAAATTAGTCTTTAAATTGTTTATATTTTTAAAATTAAATCTCTTTTTAATTAAAGTCACAAAAAACCGAAATGACAGAAAATAAAATAACTGCGCTTATTTCAAAAAATACTGCAGCATCCGGTGAGGAACTGTGTTTTGATAAAAATGAGTTCATGAAGGTAAAATTAAAAACATATAAATATATTCTAAATGTAATATTTATCGATTAAACCGTTAATATATTGTTCAATTAACAAATAATAATAAAATATTAGGCTACATTTTCCGTTGACGAGTTTTTGCATAAAAATCGTACTGCACCCAGTTTGGAACAGTTGCGAGACAATTTGGGAATTTACTTAAAAGGTTTGCGTGCTGCCATGATTGACTTGATCAATGAAGACTACGCTGATTTTGTAAGTCTATCAGCGAATTTAAATGGTTTAGATATCATTATTGGTGCTCTAAAGAAACCATTATTGCAATTTCGTGAGGAAGTGGAAAGTATACTAAATACGATTAAAGAAAATGAATCGGAAATACGTTCACACTTAGAAATGAAAAAAATGTTAAGAGAACAAAAACGTGATTTGCTAAGTTTACGAAAAGTAAACGAAACTATACAAAAACTGGAAAACCTATTAGCTAACCAATTGAATTCAGCATTACGTGTTGTAGATTTGGAACGTGCTGCACTGGATCTTATACAGCTGAAATTTCATAATAAATATTGTATGGAAGTACTGCATGAGGAGCAAAAAGTTAAAATTTTACAACTTGAACACGATGTATTAGAAAAATTACGTACATTTTTCAATGAATCCTTAAAAAATGCCACAAGTGCAAATGCAGAGCAGTTAGAGCGTAGCCTACGCATTTATATTACTTTGGATATGTGTGATGTAGCTGAGAAAGTATTTCGCGATGATATTTTAGCGCCATATATGAATACCACAATTTCTGAACATTATTTACAAAATTCACCGCATGGCCTGGGTGGTATTTACAGTAAAGTGCTGAATTTTATATCTTTGCATATGACCGATTTACTCAGATTAACACAATATACTGATAAGTTACATGGTTTCAACTTTTTAGTCAATAGCTATTGGGTTGATGTAGCTAGCCGTATTGAAACACACATGATGTCGATATTTGCACCCGGTAATGCTGAAATATTTTACACAAAATACAAATGTACACGGGACTTTATAAGCAAAATTGAAGAATTATTATCAACTCCAGAAGCTATTGAACACTTCAGACAGCATAAACAAACGAAGAGTTTTCAGGCCCGTTGGAATTTGCCAGTCTATTTTCAAATATGTTTTCAGGTAAACTTTTAAGTTTGAATAAATATATGAATGATTTATAAATATATAATTGTATTTACAGGATATTGCTGGACAATTTGAGGCAGTGCTGGAACCACCATTAAACAATAATAACTTGACAAATGCCGATAATGAGCGTAACTCATTTCGTTTGTTACCTTTTAATAAAGCTTATAAAGCAATGTTACGCTGTTGGGCTGATGGCCTTTATCTTCCAGAAGTATTTCCCAAATTCTATAGATTAAATATACAAATTGTAGTACGTCTATCGCGCTGGATTTCAACTGTTATGCCAATGATAACTACAAATAAAGTTAATGAATTACCAGCTGGTTTTAATAAAACAGATTTTTTAATAACGCTGCATGATGATATACAAAAATTTACTGCCACTTTGCCACAAATACAAGAAACTATAAGTGCATGCATACCAAAAAATAAACAAACAACTTTAATAAGTGAAACTGTAGCGAAATCAATTGTTTTATTACAATCAACAATAAGTGTTCACTTAACAAATGTACAAGATGCTTTAGTGAATATATTAATTGCTGAAAGTGGTTTGGAAAATGTGCGACAAGTCAATGATTTACCACGTTTATATCGTAAAACAAATCGTGATATTCCTACTCGATCTTCTGGTTATGTAGAACAAATGATACGACCTCTTAAGCAATTTGCTACTAAATATGGTCAGCAGTTAGGAAACGACACTGTCAATGTTGTTTTAGGAAAAGTCGTTAAAAAAATTACAGCAGAGTAAGTAGTTATAAATTGATATTTATATTTCAAAATATATTATTAAATTTTATCTGTCTGTCATAGCTATTACCTGGCTGTATCGGATGTACTGACATCTGTGCAAAAAACTGAGGAATCATTGAAACGTTTGCGCAATCTTAAAAGTAATATTTCGCAAGGAGCTGGCCCTACTAGTGTAACTAATGCCATGACAGATGATGACAAAATACGTTTGCAGTTGCGCGTAGATGTAATTGGTTGGACAGCTGAATTAGCCTTACTTCATTTTGAACCAACAGATGTCGAAAAATTATTGGAATTAAATAATATTGTCGAAGAAAGTATTAAATTGAAAGAAGTTAATAATTTTTAAACAAGTAAATAAGTTTTTCTTTTTTATTACAATATAACTTTTATATTTAATTTTATGATGTTAATTACTTTTCTAAGGTCCCTTTTATGTAGGATGTCAAGGGCACGTCAAAATTAAAATTGTTGTTGCTTTCAATGCAAATTAAAAAATTGAGAGTGAGAGAGACGAGCAAATGTCGGTTTAAGGCAATCTGTGGCACAACCAAAAAGTACAAAAGTAATAATAATAATACGATATTGACAAACTGATCTGATACTCTGTATAACACGCACTTTCATCATAGCCCGAAAGAACCAATTTTGACGTGAACGTGACAATCTACAACAACAACAACAACAAAGTAAATAAGCAAGTTAAGTTAATTGCTGAAGAACTCTGATCCATGTGACCCTTATTGTCTTTTTTGAACTTCTTGTTGCAACATTGATACGAAATTATATAGTATTGCTTTATATTATGAACAACATAGTTGGAACTTTAGAAAAATAGTATGAAGATTTTTTTTTAATCTATATTGAGCCTTTTCCGACTTAGTCCCACCCATCTCACTGACTAATTTGTGTATTCCTCATAAGCTTCGTGATTATTCAATGACTGATCTAAGATCTGCGTATCACCTCGTGTGGTTAGTGATTACTCTGAGAATAGATAGTGCTAAGTATGGCAGCCTGTCGGTTTTCGCATATAGCTCCAGGGCTATGTCCCTTATGTATTTTTGACCGGTTCTGTTCTAAGGTCTCATAGCATGTCATTCGTGCGACTGTACCATGGCACTTCAGAGAGCCTGACTTTAAGCAACAAACCGTTTATAAATTTTAATATTTAAAAATAATGTAAAAATATTCCATTGATTTTAAACATTTTAAAAAGAAAAACAAACGTAAATTTATATTTCAGCATATGTAAATAATTATAACTTTTTATTAATTTAACATGTATATATAATAACTTCATTAATAATAAAAATAAATGCTTAGTAATTCCGGTACAATTTGTCTGAGATTTGTGGCACTAATTCTCGCTGTATATGTAAAAAAAATATATAATAAAATTTTATTTATTATTATATAATATTAAAAAATTTAATTCATTTGTTTTATTATATTATTTACAATTCTACTTAATTAATAACAATTTGTTTTAGTATCTAATAAACAAGCATAAAAAGGAATGAAAGAACTTTGTTAAGAATTCTGTTTAATATCTCGTTAATGTTCCAGACTTAACTGAGATAAAAGCAAAATTAAAACAAAAATTTAATTTATAACTAGAAAATTTCTAATAGCTTTTTAACAAAATTAGTTAAGGCACATCTTACATACTTGTTAGTGAATATACATATATTGATAATTCTAGTTAATAAATTTTATAAAAAAAAAATTAATTGCTTTAGTATACAAATTGCTTCCATAATTTGGGGTTCAAAATTTCAATTTTCAAGCTGCAAATCTTAAAATAAAAACTTCAACTCATTGATGCAAAAACTCTGACCAAGCGTTGATTAAAGTTTCAAAGATTCAAAGGTAATTACAATTTAAGCTCCTCGGTGTCGGGTAATTTTTTAAAATATTCTAATACAAATTCATCGCTAATATCTTCTAGTCTTGGTATAAGCCACTTTGGCTTTTGGTCCTTGTCAATCAGTAGTGCACGTACGCCTTCCTTGAAATCGCTCTTCTGCAAGTGACGCACTACCATTCTGTACTCCATTTTCAAGCATTGCATTAAAGATAGTTTACCACCCAATTCCAATTGATGGAAAGTTACTTTCAGCGCAAGTGGTGACATCTTGCCAAGGGTCTAATAAACAAAATATATACATTTTTATTAAATATTTAACATATATAAAAAATATTTATTTAATAAATTTGTAAGCAAATAAAGTAAGTAATTTGTTTTGTTAAGATTTTTAGTAGCTAATGGGAATATTTAACTAGATTACTTAGAACACTTAGTTGTTAAAAAGCACAGATGAATGAGGTGTTAATTAAAAGTTTAATTATTGCATTTAACATAAATTAAAATATTTGTGGAACAATAGGGTCATTTATGAAGGTTGCATATCATGAATGCAGTATTTAAATAACTAAAAGTAAGATAATAATGAGAATGTTAAAAAATAAATTCAATATGTAAAAAATAACAAATATAATCGTCACTAATTTGTTTAAGTAATTAAATCAGACATTGAAAATGGCTTCAAGTTCAAATAAAATAAATAAAATTTGTCAAAAGCTGAACTAAAATAAAATTAATAAATTATTTAATTAATCGTAAAACATAGCACTTGCTTTTATGCTAATATTAGCTTAAATTTTCAATAGATAAAATTTGTTTAAATTTGTAAATATAAGCATATATGGTATATATGTTTCTATAACCATAAATATAGCAACAGCATTAACTAAGAGAAGAGTCTACGTGATCCATGAATACACACGCCCAGCCCCAACTCATTCTCATTCCTAAATAATCCCATTTCTTCTTATACTATCATTATCTATCTACATCTTTACCTATGTATCTATACCCTAATCCATTTGCAATTCCTTTCATGTTATTTGCTTTATAGATATCTGCGAGCTACGACGACATTAAGAGCATGAAAACATGTGAGCTGTTGTAGGATTTCAAGATCGGATCTATTATAGAAGAAATGGAAAAAGTGATTGTGTAGATTATCAAATCAGGATCTATATAAACCTAGATAACTATAGTGACATATAGCGTAGTGGAAACATTTGATTAAAATATCTGCTTTTACTAAAACTCGTTGACAAATGGACATGCTTGGGAAATCACAATGGTGCCTATTTTTAATGTATGACTTTATTTCTTAATTGAGTGAAGTGTACCATGTAGCTCCATGGTGGATCAGCCAAGTGGTCACAGGTACTACTAAGCTAAACAAATGCAATATATATTCCCTATACGGTCTTTCATTAAACTTTGTGAAACACTCTAATCCGACTAAGGGGCACAATATTATTATTTTGCACAATAATAATAATATATTCCATCAGAAAGATATGCTGGGTTTCAAAATATATTTCTTTAAAGTCAGAAGTGGATCAGTCAAGTGATCACTGACACTACTAAGCGAAAGTGCTTAAGACACTAAGTTAGTGTCATCAGGCAAAGAAAGAGAAGAATGAGTAATTTCTAGAACTTACCTCCAAAGTTTTATTAGCCCATTCGCTGCCATCTTTTTGAAGATTTTCAATAATTTCCTCTACGCACTCTGCAGTAAAGCATTTATTAATTTGTTCTAGATGTGGTTTAAGTAAAAAATCTTTTGCTGTTGGTTTGTGATATTTTTGTAATATATCAGGCACTTCTTCAGAATCACCGCAATTTAATAAATCTTGTTCTAATTTACTTAATTTGGCACTTTCACAATAATGTGTAGCAACGCCAGCTTTCAGTACATCATCACCCTTCAAACGTTGTCCAGTAAGACCTAAATAAAGACCTAATTTACCTTCAAGTCGTGGTAGAAAATGAGAACCACCAACATCAGGAAATAGTCCAATAGCTGTTTCGGGCATAGCAAAAAGTGTACGTTCCGTTGCAACACGATATTTACCATGAACTGAAAGACCAACACCACCGCCCATCACAATACCATCGATAAGTGCAATATAAGGAATTTTATAATTGCCAATAAGTGCATTCGTTGTATATTCCTCACGGAAAAAGCTCTTCGATTCTTCCGTTGGACCTTGTTCGACTATTGCACGTACATCACCGCCGGCACAAAAGCTCTTATCACCCGTGCCCTTGATAATGACCAACGATTTCGAGGTCTCACACTTTCTCAAGTGTTTATAGATTTTACGCACCATTTCTAAGTTAATTGCATTTAAAGCTTTTGGTCGATTTATTATTATTAAACCTTTCGAAAAGGATTCAGTGGCTAAAACGGCAGATGTCGAAGTCGATGACGCTGCTGACATTTTGCGTATTAATGGATTCGTTTGAATTTTATTAGCTGCCACGGCGGGTAGGGTACGATGTCCAAACGCGTAAACTATTCTGTGTATTGTCGACTAAAATAGAATGCGTGAAAAACAAAAATAAAATTAATTTAATTTTAATTTAAAATTGTAAATAAATATCAACAGGTAATTGTATATTAATGTGAAGAAATATATATTTTTTTTATTTATATGAATTTGAATTTACCATGTCGGCTACTTTTTTTGATTAATGCTCGCTTCACACACAAAACACCCAGTTGCGCAACACAAGAACTGTTCTTGCCTACTGCTCTGCTCCACTTTCTGCTTTTGAGCTTTGCCGTAGCTTTTTCAGATTTTGTATGTTTATTGCAAAAAAGTAGTATTTGATAAAATTATAAACTTTTTATTGCAAAACGAATATTAAGTATGTGTAAACATTTGTAAAACTAATAAAGTATAAAAACAACTATATATAAATGATTAATTTTTGTTTTTTTAATATTTTAAGGCTTAATTATTTTTATTTTAATTTTAAACTTTTAATTTAATACTTTTTTATGCAAGAAACTCTGTTTTTGTAGGCTCCAATCGTGCTTTTCTTTTGAACATCCTTTAAATAAAACAAAAACAAAAACAAAATAAAAAAGTATGATTATGTTTTGCCGCTTTGTTTTGATAGCGGTATTTGTGCAATAAATTAATTAATTTTTTTATTAATTAGCATATAAGGTTTATTAAAATAAATATTAGAAATTGAGAACTAAAAGCATAAACATAAAATTTTGTTTAATAATGTTTAATACTAAAAACAACTACGCATTGTCATTTATATTAACAACACAGCATAATCAGACCCCCAATCGCCATTTTCTTTTGAACGTCATTCGCACATTGCAAAAACTGAACACACACACACGTGTAATGTTTTGCGGCTTTTGTGTTTTTATAACTTAATTCGTATTAAATTGACTTTAATTAATATTAATATATTTTAATAAAAACCACACATTAAAAAAAACAAGTCGAGTAATGAGAAAATACTATAAATAATAACAAACTATTTTTATGGGCGTATTGTGCATACATTAAGCACTCAAACCTTTGAACATAAACTAACCTTGAAAATAAAAACAACAATACTTTTTGTATATATATATATATATATATATGTATAAGTCTTGTTACATATTTAAAGTAATACGTAAATAATGCAATTTTTATTAATCATTGTGAGGTTTTTGATTTTTATTTAAAGCATTTGTTTGTATTTTGCTTGTGGTGACGACGTCATCATACTCATTCAACTTCTTTGCCAGGAAATATATTTCAGCTAAAGCAATAACAAGAGCACATATAATGCCAAGCAATAAACGAAAACCAAAATCTAAGTTTCCAATGATAAGTTCTATGCCAAGGAAACCAAATACAAAACCAGCAGCTACAGAGAATACGAATTGCAATACTGCAATTATTTGCTTATTCAGAGCTTTCACTGTTACAAAAAAATCATAGAAGAAAATATTTTTGATATTAATTAATTAAATATTTAAATTTGAATATTTACTCTGATAGGCAATTGTGTCCTCGGGAAAATTTTTTAAAGTCGCATCAACATTTTTGGTCATTTTTTGATATTCTAAATTTTGTTGTTGTTCACGTAATTTTTGACAACGCGCCTCCAATTCAGGATTTCTTTCAATTATTTCATTTTGTGGTAAAATTAATTCACATTTTTCAATTATATTATGTAAATATATATCAGAGCCATTATCTTTTCTTAATTTAAGTAAAAAGCTATTTAACCATCTTAAATCATTGATATATAAACACATATCTTCATTTATTTTAGGTTCCTCAACTGAATCAGTTTCAGTTTTATCACCAGCTTTGTTATCAAGTTCTGGTTCACTTGAAACAGAGCTTGTATCATCAACCATAACTTCATCAACATTCTTACACAATTCGGTTAACAGCTTCATATCAATTTTAGGTGATTTTATTTTTTCTTCATTTAATATTTCAATTTTTGTTATTAAATCCACTCCATTACGTCTCAATATTTTCGCCATATTTTCCGTTACTTCTGTTATGGCACTTGCATTTTCCCGGAGCAATGTTATTAATTCCATTGAGGGACGCACCTTTATGCGTGTGTCTGCTATTGTCGTCTTTAACATTTTTATTTTATTTTATTTTTTTTTGGTATATAGAATTTACTTTGTTATATTTAACTTTAATTGCAGATCGGAGTAGAGTTCTGCAATTTCTTCCTCCTTCTGTTCAAAAGAGTTATCAATGCGTGTAAATCCGTGTTTAAGATCGTTGCAAAAGTTATCCTTTATCTGTTGTCTCTGCTTGCGAGACTCTGCTAAGAAATCACCCGGCTGCAACGAAAGAAAGAATATATATTATCTATTTGACATACAGTCATACACAAAATTTTAATTCATGCAAGAAGTTTCTAACAATTTATATATATATACATATATTTTACTAGAGCAATACACTTTATGCGAAACATTTAAGCTATTTAGTTAATCATTTCTGAGACCACACAAGCGAATAACACAATTTCACTGAATTACTTTTTTATGAGAAATTAAAATTCTCCATCCAATCTAATGGAGCAAATTCTATTTAACAGTTAGAGCGTATACTATATAGCCATTATATATTAAAGCCAATAATGGTTCCAAGACTTTAGAAGAGCGACCAAGAGCCGTTCATCACCCCCAAAGGGATATTACAAGTAGTTGCTCACGGTCTACAAAAACAGCAACAATGCCAATAGCAAAGTTAATATAAAAAGCATATAATATAAATATTTATATACAATATAAAGCAAAGGAAACAGTTCTAAATTTATATCTGTACTTTGTCTCTTTAGTCATCTCTTACGAATATATAATATATACTAATATTAAAAGCACATAATATAAACATATATACAATATAAACGAAGCAAACGAATCAGTTCTTAATTCTCTATCTAAATATCTGTATTTCGTCTCTTCAGCCATCTCTTACCGGCTTTTCAATATTTGTTGATTTTAAAAACAGTTCAACACCGCTTAATAAATCTTTTATATCTGTTGATATTTGATTAAGATTCGCCGTTCCCAATGAAATGCAACGATCAGATAAATCGTACTTAAGTTCACCTACAGTTTCTGTTAACTTGAATAGTGTTTCCACTTCAATGTCGTTACGTTTAATCTCAAAATTATTTAAAAAATTTTCAATTTCACCATTGACAAAAACTCTGTGATCTAATATTCTATGTTGTGCATTGTAGAAACCTTTAATAAATTTGTTGTTTCGATTAATATGAATAAACTCTAAATAACTATAATTACTTACTTTTTCCGATTTTTTGATTTAACATTGGATTGTTTAGCTTAGTAAAAAAAAAACTTCAAATATTAAATAGGTCAGTCGAAGTTATTAAGTATATTTACAATATTTTCTTTAAATATTTCTTCAATTTTGTCACCTGACTGATTTTGACGTTTAGTGCTTAAGATAATTTTTATCTTTGTCATATGTTATTTTTTGACATATTTTTACGAACATAGTTTGAGATACAAAATAATAACCGGCGCTGTGTTCAGTTGTTACTAAAATGAAATAATATATAAAAATTATACTATGTTTAGACAAGTGTAGATTTGACAAATATGCAGCAATATATGACATTTTCAATATAAAATTAATATAAATTCCATATAAAAATACACTACTGAGGTTCGAAAATATAGCATAGTGATAACATAGCATTATGTTTAATTATTGAAACAATTTATATATATGAATTTAAACTTGAAGAATTTTATTGTAATCAGAGTAAAAAGTTTACAATTTCTGGGAAGATATATCGTTATAAAACTATATATGAATGGTGAAGCTTATATTACAATTTAATTTTGCAAAAATCTTCATTTCGTTTTCGTTTCAGCGAAATATAATTTTTTTTCTATATAAAATTCAGTTTTAAGGTTAGAACTAAATTAAGGAAAATGATCTCAATTTAGTTGATATGTAGCCTGGAATTAAGGGAAATTTCAAATGCAACTATGCGTAAGCTAAATTTTAAGCAAAAGATAAGTTGAGGAAAACGAAAAAATGACAATTTTTTTAAATAAATGTCATTCACTACGTTTACGCGAGTGTTAAAATCACTTTTAAAACTGATTTTAAAATTTGTTCTTAGAGCGTTTACGCACAAGAATTAAAAGCACTTTTAAGGTTACTGTCAATCAATCAGCTGTTTAACAGCAAACATAAATGTTGATTTTAAACATTTTAAAAATGAATATGGTAAAACTACAAATTATTTTACTTTTATTGCAAAAAAAAGATATTATAACCAAAATTGTAGAAAATAAAGCAACAATGCTGATTTAAAAACCATTCCGTAAAAAATTTACAAAATTGCTGATTTTCGAATGAATCGACAAATATTTTGCAGGGTTGTAGATTTGCTTAAGGATAAAATGGCACCAGCAGAAAATACTTTCGTTGAAGGGTTGTGTGTTAAAAAGAAAATAACAGTTCACAAACTTGCCTCTTGTGCTGAATACCGTGTAATTGCAAAGGGATTTGGAGTATCAAAAAGTACTGTTTGCTTATGTGTTCACAGTTTCTGTAAAGTTTTAATTGAAAACCAAGTCGGCAAAATATTATTCTGGCCAAATGCATCAGAATGTGAACGCATAGCCTCGAGATTTGAACAAAAATTTAAACTGCCAAATATTATTGGTGTTATAGACGGCACTCATGTGCCAATTAAACCCCCACAAGACAGACTTTCGTAACAGAAAGGGTTATAGTTCCATTGCAGTGCAAGCTATTGTGGATGATCAATATTTATTTAAAAATATCACAGCACAAAATCCTGGTTGTGCACACGATGCATCAGTGCTTATTGACAGTTCTCTATACAAAAACCATAATACATTAAGTCCTGAAAGCCATAGGGAAATCGACGGAATTTACAACTATGTTATGTTTTTTAAACTTCCTTATTATATTATTGGTGATGCAGCTTATCCGCTTTGTAACTGGATTATGAAAAATTATAGGGACGAGTTAACTGTTGAAGAGACATCCTTCAACTTATATTTGAATCAAGCACGAATTGTTGTGGAGCAAGCATTTGGTCGCTTGAAAGGAAGATGGAGAATACTTTATAAGAAGAGCGACCTGGATGTTTACAATATGCCGCATGTGATAATAGCGTGCGGAATTCTTCACAATTTTGTAGAGATATCTAAACAACGTTATAATTTCTCTTGGGATGTAGAAAGAATCCATGATGAAAGTGAATATCCCCAACCTGAACAGATGTACAATCGACAAAATTCGTTGTCCGGACATTTTATGCGAGATCATATATGCGCGTACTTGGCAAGAAAATTTCCACTTTTACATAGAAACAATTAAAAAAATAATGTAGAAAAAACCAATTTTTAATTAATTAATTTATACGTTTATTTATAACTAACAATATAATATATATAATATAATATATTTATAACAATTTAAGCTTAATAATAAATTTAAATAATTGAAAATAATAAATTTAATATTGAAATATTGAAATATTTTTTCAAATAGAGAATAAAAAATAAATAATTTTAATTAATTTAAATTCTGCGATGCAATTAGACCTCTGATAGCACTTTCAATTGTCTCATTGCTACTACGCACCAAATTTTCATTGTGCTTACGCTGCTATTCCTGCATTTTCGTTTCCCAGTCACGCTGTTTTTCCGCTTCCTCGCTAAAGAATTTTTCCTGGCGGCTAATCATAATTTTGCATTCGCGAGACCAACTTTCATGAAAGCTGGACAGTGCCTTTGCGTAACTTCCTCTGCCGTTCGATCGATCTAGTCGAATTTGCGTTGTGGTGGTATTCGATGAAGTTCACGTCGAAGGCAAGTCATCTATTCCTAACTCCCAATTCGTTTCATCTGCGTTATTCTGCGGGTTCAAAAATGCGGATGTTGAAGGCAAATCAAAGTCTGAATTGTGCTCCTCTGCGTTGTCATTTAAATATTCTTCATTCCATTCACCTGCAATTAAAAAAATTAAAGTTCGGTAAGAAGATATTTACTTGTATGATTCTTCCTCCCCTTTCATCCAATTTTTTCTTTTTATTTCCCTTTTCTCCATATTTTTAGTTAGTGTTATTTGTAATAAAATTCAAATTATTTGCACCTATTCACTGTTAACAGCTGACAATTCAAACCTTAAACTGCTTTTAAGGTGTTTACGCAAAGCGTAAAAGTGACATTTCTTACTAAAAGTGATGTTAAACTACTTTTAGTAAGCTAAAAATGCTTTTAAGCAAAATTCAATTTAGGGTGTTTACGCGATCTTAAAATCAATTTTAAGAGCCTTAAAACAACTTTTAAGGCTCGCGTAAACGTAGTGAGTGACAGTTAAATTTAATGAAACAGGGAAAATATTTTGATAGTAGTGCAAATTTTTAAATTTTGAATATAGACAAAAAACTGTAATTGTTATTAATTTGAAATAGAGTGAAAAATAATAACTCACATACTTAAAATCCACTAAAACTAATAAAACTACTGAATTCCATCCTTTATAGTTATATTAATCAACTTTTAAAATTTCCAAGATACAAATGGTGTTTGGAGCATGCAAATTTTAACATAATTAACATATAAACATTCTTTTTGTAAATAAAAAACATATGATATCCTTAATTTGTGCAGTATGACCATTTTTCAAATTAATTTAATTTAAAAAAATTTGGCTGTCTGAACATAGTATTAATATCGTGAAAATGAAATTAAGTTAATTTGGAAAGTGTTCATACTGCCCCAAATTAAGGAAATCATATGTGTTTTATGTATGAATAGCCCCATATACCTTCTAGCGCATTGGTGCTTACTGGTAATTGGTAATACATAATTTATATGAAAATTATAAAATAAGTGTTTTTAAATTTACTAAAATTACTAAAGCGTGAAAAAATTTTTTTTTGCTGATATTTTTATTTTTTATATATATATTTTTTTATATATTTATTTTATGTTTCTTGTATATTTTTGTTATGTATTCATTATTAATCATGAAAATTAAAAATTTAAATATTTAAAAATTCTTTTAATTATTTTTATAGATCGAAATCCTGATGATAGAGTTTAATAAAAAATATTAAAGTTTTCTTATTTAACAAGAAGGGACCTGCAGTCAGAATAAAAATATATAAAAAAACAATTTTTATTTTATATATTAAAATATTTTTCTTTTAAAACTAAGGTTGATGATTTTACTTGTTGAAACTAATTAAATGCGCATATAATATGAATATTACAACTTGTTGTTGTTCTGTTTGTTTAATGTGCAACATAATGTGTTGGCAACACTTTTTTCTACATGCAGCTTGTCACGTACTCGCACAATACATTCGCGAAATGGTTTGTCAGTTATATTTGCACATTTAACAGGTCATTGGTGTTCCCATTAATTTCTTAAGAAAAATCTCAGCATTTTGAAAACCCACCAATTTTACAAATAATGAGCGATGAATTTAAACTGCCAAAACGCTCGAGAAAACGTTTGCGTGAGGTGAAACGAAAAGCACGTCCCGAATTGGGTGACAAAGAGGCGTGGACGGCGTTGCGCTATTATGAAAATTTCCAAGAATTCCGCACGTTTACAGATAATGCTGAACGCATTAATGAGAAAATTGTTTCCTGCGAGGAATTTATACAGCGCTTCGAGCGACCATATAAGCCAGTAGTGATTGAAGGATGCCAAGAGGGTTGGCTGGCACTGGAAAAATGGACAATGCCTCGTCTATCAAAAAAATATCGTAATCAAAAATTTAAATGTGGTGAAGATAATGAAGGATATAGTGTTAAGATGAAAATGAAGTATTATATTGAATATATGCAAGCAACTCAGGACGATAGTCCATTATACATATTTGATAGTAGCTTCGGTGAACATCATCGCCGCCGTAAACTATTGGAAGATTATACAATACCGAAATATTTTCGTGATGATCTCTTTAAGTATTGTGGTGAAGAACGCAGACCGCCATATCGTTGGTTTGTGATGGGACCCGCACGTTCAGGCACTGGCATACATATTGATCCATTAGGGACGAGTGCTTGGAATGCTTTAGTGCGCGGACATAAACGGTGGTGTTTATTTCCAACGCAAACACCTAAAGAATTGCTGAAGGTTCCCGGTGCTGTAGGTGGAAAGCAACGTGATGAAGCCATCACGTGGTTCAGTACCATATACCCACGTACAAAACAAATTGATTGGCCAAAAGAATATGCACCTATTGAAATATTACAAGGTCCTGGTGAAACAGTATTTGTGCCTGGCGGCTGGTGGCATGTGGTACTCAATTTAGATGATACAATAGCAGTTACACAAAACTTTAGTAGTCGCACGAATTTTCCAGTTGTTTGGCATAAGACTGTGCGTGGCAGACCGAAGTTATCGCGTAAATGGTTGCGAGTGTTACGAGAAAAAGAACCTGAATTAGCTAAAATCGCTGAAGGTATTAATATCGATCAAAGTACTGGATTTGCTTCAGATAGTTCAAGCAATTCGAGTTCGTCGTCAAGTTC